TCGACCAGCACCCCCCCCCCCCCCAACCCCGTTTGGTTACGGTTTTACTACAAAGTTAAAACCATTGCGCAGGTTTTATCCGTTTGATAACAGTAGGACATTAAACCCCATTTTATTTGATATGGCATGGCATTCAAATTTTGTCTTCCAGGTGGTCATATCAGGTAAAAACATCTTACTCGACGAATCGCCTCCAGCTCTTACTGGTATAGAAATACAAGATGGCGGCGCCTTAATCTGGGACGACAAGGCGGAGATAACACTGACGACTGATCATATCTTGGTTTATGGAAAGTTTATTATTGGGAGTGAAGATTGTAAATTCACCAAGAAAGCTAACATTGTATTAACAGGTATATATGTACTTAAAGATTATAACAATTACAAATTATTTTTAAAAAGTTTTATATTTAAATGCTTGACTTTAAAATGTTTTATGGTGTGACTTCTAAAAGTAAAAAGTTATCACTTGTCGGGGCTGGCAATTTGGGACCTGCCAAGAAAACTATGTCTATTCATTCGAAAATTATTAGTGTGAAAGTAACACTACCGTATCGTTATCCGCCCAACACCCACCAACCCTTATTGCATACGTATCCATAGATACAAATCTTACCATATGTTAGTCTCAAATTGCCTGAAGTATTGTGTTGACGAGATATTAAAGTTACAATTTCATATTTTCTAAGAAAGTCAAAACATAATTATTTCTGTATCTTTTGCTCAATGGGTTGTCAACTCACTATTATACGATCATAGGTTATCTTTCTCACACTTAAAAATCTTCACACCGGAAATAATAACACAATTACCTTTCAATTACCCCCCTTGTTTCCTATTCCCCGTCATGGAATAGCTATCTTCAAACGTTTGAATTTAAAGTTGAAAATGATATTTTTGCCAATTTCTCAACTGGCAGTAGTGAATTATAGGATTGATAGGATTATTCTTTAACAAGGTAGGACTGTTTAAAGATACCATCTATTTTAGGGCTTTATTTTAATACATTTTAAAAATATAACTTAAAAATATGAAATTGTAACTTTAAACCTCATTCCATTCATAAAGTAAAGCTTTTGAATTGTTTGGTTACTGTTTTACTACATAGTTAAAACCGTTGCGTAGGTTGTATCCGCTTCGTAACAGTAGCACATTAAACCTCACTAAACACTACTTATGGATAACAAGCAAATGGTAAGGACGAGAGTATCATCGTCGAAACGTTGCATGTTAATAAACCAGTAACTGTTATTCATAACTTGTTATCCATAAATAGTGTTTAGTGTGTTACTGTTCAATTACTAAATGCCACTTAAAGATACATTATGGGAGATCCGATAACGAGTTGGCAGTTCTCACTACAATAGTTAAAAACTAGATAATGTAAAGGCAATTTGCTGAAAATTTCATTCAAATTGATACTCTATGAACCGAGAACTAAGCGGTTGAAGTTTCCGGCTAGCCTTAATCATCTCTACTAAAGTCAGTACGATAAACAGCATAGTCTCGATTATCCATTTAATCGTTAAATCGTGAAGGAAAGTTATGCAGTAAATCGGCCCATAATCCACTAACGATCACAGGCTAGTGATGCCATCTAGAGTTGATTATGGTCTGGATAGGTTCATTAATGTCTAATTAATAATTTAGATAACATTTCAGGCCTAAAGAAAGACCTACAATAGACAGATTTAGCTCTTGCATAATGTAACCACACTTAAGTTCATTTTATTTATCGGGTTGGAGACCTTTCTAGAACACCCGATACCATTTTATAATGTAAATAATTTCAGGTTTAACTAACGATAGTACATCTGTGGGGGGTTATGGTAGAAAGTTTATTGGTGTTGGTTCAGGGGGCACAATAGAGATCCATGGGGAAGACAAATTGTCCTGGACAAAATTAGCTCGAACTATTCCAGCATCGTCACAAACCTGTGGTGTTGTGTACAATCATCAGGTAAGACTGTGTACGGTATCTTCACAAAGCGGTGGCTCTGTGTACAGTCATCAAGTAAGATTGTGTACAGTGTCGTCACAAACCCGTAATGTTGCGTTAAGTTATACTATTTAACGTTATAATATTATAATCCTTGTAGAAATAGATTTCACTAAAAATATAAACACAGGGGTGATGTCCCTGGTTAATAGAAACTTCGTGATATAATGTTGGATACTAATATTATAACAATAAACACATTTGTATGATATACTACTTCTGAATTGCTTGATAACGATACCTGTGTGTATTGAAACGTAGCCTGTTAATAAAATTCAGAAGTAGTATATCCATACAAGTGTGTTTATTGTTATAATATTAGTATCTAACATTATATCACGAAGTTTCTATTAACCCCCTGTCACCGACCAATGATTTTATTATTTTATAGATGGATCGGATGTTATGCTAGCACATTAACATTTTAAGTGACATTCAAATTGTAGATTGTAATTAATTCTTTACTGATTGTTTTTTTTAGATTGAAACCTTTATAATTTGAATATTTTAAATTTTATAGCAAAGCCAGGCTTTTTTTTTATCAGTCAACCAACTGTGTTTACGGTGTGGTGTGATGGGTGGTGAGGTGGTGTGGGTTGGTTTGGGGGAGGGTGGTAATAGCGTGATATTAGGAACAGAATAAATTATTATTTCGTCGGACCGTATCATGTCGATGTCCGCTAAGATATGTTATATTTCAGTCGTCTCCATACCAGAGTGAATGGGGTAAAGGTCTACATGTTATGGTATGGAATCTGGACGGTTCTATTCATGATTTTAATATTTTCCTTCTTGGTGAATCTTGGGATAAATCATCTGATGAACTCTTTGAACAATATGTTGACGGTAAGCCTTTCCTGTCTTGTCCGCAGGTTTGTCTTTAGATCTTTATCTTTAGAGTTTTGTTTTTCGTGTAGTGCGGTCCTCCTCCACTTACTATTAGAGTAGAGTTTTAACCCTTCGTACTGCAGAATGTTCTCGTTGTCAGGTTTTGCTCCTGTTTGCTCACTACACTTATTATTTTAGCGTTTTCCGAGATTCTATCCGGATTATCGCCCTTATTGTTAAAATTGTTTGGCGTTCTAACTCATGACGTCAACTGGCAGACTATCGCCATTGAGGAAACGTCCACTGTCAAGATTGGTCGCATTATTTCTGTTACGTCTTTTTTTGTATTCCTGATTGTTTTCAAATTTGAGCGAAGTCTGTGTCACTACAGGCCCGGGACTGTACAGCGCAGTTGTCGCTTACGGCGGGCCCCCGGATCCATTAACTTGATTTGATATTTGTTTATTTGGTGCAATGTCTATTTTCTGTCTTGTCCACAGGTTTATCTTGTAGATTTTTGTTTTGCGTGCAGTGCGGTCCCCCTGTACTTACTATTAGGGTCTTTAAATTTATCAGGAAGTGTTAGGTTATGTTTCGTTTTTATTTATTTTTAAAAATGACATACATGGTTTCATAATTACCTATATAATATTAGAATACACATCTGTCCTATCATTCGTTTCAAGTTTGTGAGTGAGTATGTTTTATTTCAGCAATACAAAATGATAAAATCGTTGCCATGGCGGTTAAACGAGGCCTGGGGCTCGGATCTGAAGGAAGGGATTTTGAAAAGGTATACAGTGCTGTGGAGCAATTAGGAGGCCTGGCTTCCGGTTCCAGTAAAATTAGAAATGCCGCGGACGTGGAAGCATATGCTTTCATAGCCTATAAAGGTTTGTTGATATTTAAATCTACTTAACCGCGTGTAAAAGAACAGTTATCAGTTTGAATTCGATGAAATACTCATTCAAAATTACCCTCATTGAAAACTGCATGGCATAAACCTGTTTGTGAAAAAACGTAGGACGGTTAGCTTCATTACAGGTCATGGCTGCATCATACTCTATAATTTACCTAACAACCTAGACCGCTACGACGGGACGATTTACCCAATACTACCCAATACTACCCAATACCACCCAATACCACCCGAATACCACTCCAATATCACCACATACTACCCAATACTACAACATAATGTTGCGTAATGAACATATTACTTGATTTTTTTCAACAATAGTGAAATATATCGTGGGAAATGTACTTCAAATGTGATTACAGACAGACGACCCTATCAATTGGTAAGAGACATTTTGGGAATAAAATATGGTATATCGTTATACCTGTTTTTCTCATTTTAAGTTTGGCGTCTTGGAAACTAATTGCAAAGCCAAAGAAGATGATTAATCAGAGTAGCAATCTAAAATCTATTTACCGGTTGTAAAGGGAGATAACTGTGTAAAAATTTCAATTTTCTGCAAAATATCGAATATTCGTTGCAGTAATTATACTAATGTGCTGTTATTTGACAAAATTAGGTTGTTATTTGATCATATTTGGTAGTATTTGGTAGTATTTGATGAGTATTTGGTAGTATTGGGTTATTATTGGCTTTTTTGGGGTAGTAGAGGAAGGCAAATAGAACAGCCAGATATCGGTATCGCATTTGAAGTACATTTCCCGCGACATAACTCTCTATTTTTTGAAAAAAATCAAACGATATGTCTATTTTGCATCATTATGTTGTAGTATTGGGTTGTATTGTGGTGACATTGAGGTTGTATTGGGGTGGTATTGGATAGTATTGGGTAGTATTGGGTAAATCGTCCCACCCCCGAGTTCACAAAGCATTCTCAGACTTAAGTTAAGAATTTACTCAACTTTCAATCACTGTTTATGAGAAATATCCAGAAACACAACACTTTGCACATAGTTCCTTATCAATGTATTTGATACATTAAAACAACAAAACTTTTATAAAGGGCTATATTTTAGTTAAAATAAAACAAACATATTTGAGTTAATATTGTTGTCAGTCACTGTTGTCTCTGTCTGTCCACATTTGTAAATTATCTGTTATTGATTCATAGGTTTTTACTTTATATCTTATTTTCCACCAGGTAAACCGGAATACACGAAGGAACAGCACGTGGCTAAAATACCGTCACAAAACTACACACAAACAGACGAATCAGTGAAGATTGACCTTTGGGATCAAGGGTTGAAGTTCAGCGTTCAGAGTGCCGTCAAATGGCAAGGGCCGTGGGGAACACCTGAAAACGTCGACTTTCAAGTTCTTACAACGGAGGTTGCTTATCCTAAAATTGACGTCATTGACGCCGTGACGTCATGGAAACCAGGTAAAATAATTACGATGTATTTCCACTACTTAAGACTTCAGCATAAAAATTGAACATGGACCTGCTGCTCAATGGGTAATCCCATTGTTTTTGTCGTCTAGGTGAAAAGGTTGTATTAATTATACGTTATGTTATTTTTGTCGCCTAGGTGATAAGTCGTATTACTTATAGGTTATGTTATTTTTGTCGTCTTGGTGATAAGTCGTATTACTTATAGGTTATGTTATTTTTGTCGTCTAGGTGATAAGTCGTATTACTTATATGTTATGTTATTTTTGTCGTCTAGGTGATAAAGTCGTATTACTTATACGTTATGTTATTTTTGTCGTCTAGGTGATAAGTCGTATTACTTATATGTTATGTTATTTTTTGTTGTCTAAGTGATAAAGTCGCATTACTTATACGTTATGTTATTTTTGTCGTCTAGGTGATAAAGTTGTATTTGCGTCAACTGATTATAGTTGGAAACAAGCTGAAGAGAAAACTGTTTATCCTTGTACAGATTGTAATAATAACCAGTTCAGAGTCGATGGTGAGATTTGTTTTTAAATATGACCCTTTATGTTAAAAAATCTGTATTTTTTAACAAGTGGGCGGACTGAATTGTCGATAACGTCACGTCGTTAACAAAAAGAAAATGGCCATGACGTTGACTCACAGACCAGGTGTTCCTGGGATGGTCCTAAAGTTCGTCGGGTTAAACGCGGAGGTTCTGTGAAAGATGGACTTCTAATCATTTCGATGGTACGAGAACCAGCGATCGCATTTCAGTGGTCAATTGAGATAAGAAGCAATTCCTGGTAGCACACCACATGGAGTATGTCGGTCTTCATTATTTCAGTTGGTGCGGAAACGTAGGACCTTTAACCCCATTTCATTTGTTTTCAATTGCCTTTTTCCGGTCACTCTAGCAAATGAAAAAAGGTATGTTGGCTGCTGTTTCTCGTATCATGAACTGCACGGGCAAAATTCCCCCCATAACACACTGTATGGCGTATGCCCGTCTTCATTAGCCCAGTATAGGAGCAGAATAGTAGGACGTTAAACCACCTTTCATATCATTTCATTTCCGTATCATGAACTGGGCAAATACATCAGAACATATGACAATAGTTTGTAGGAGCAGAACAGTAGGACGTTAAACCTCCTTTCATTTCATTTCATTTCCGTATCATGAACCAGGCAAAATACATCGAACATATGACAATAGTTTGTATCTCCTAATGCGATCAAGCAAACTTAATTTTATTTCGTGTTTAGTTTTAATTCTCCCCGTTGTATTCACAGGTGCCTTCAAGTACAGCCATTTTGGTGAAATTGTAGATGGCGCTGATGAACGCGGTGAGGTGGCGCTGTTAACACGCAAAATTGTTATAGAAGGAAAGATGGAGGAGAGTTGCTATGGTAATAGTGAACGTGAAAAAGAATTGTGTGGGTTGTTTAAAATTGATACACTTGGTGGTCACTTAAAGGTTTGATATCACATTCTCTTATTTAAAATTACATCTACCTTTTGTTTTGGTTGGAGTAACGGTGGCTCAGTGAGTAGGACACTGGATCCTGGGTTGGCCCCCTATGTTGGCAGGCAAATTACTTTGGATTTTCCTTCGCCACCCCCCCCACCCAATGGTGCTGGGCGGAGGACCTGGCAAAAACAGTATCCAGTCGGTCAGATGGGATGACAAATCGAGGTCCCGTTTACACTTTGGTGTACACGTGAAGGAATTCAAAATACGATTAAATTTTTAAATTCATTGAATTAACCAAGCGTTTTAAATAATCGTGATATACTTGTATCCCTTTCAATTTATATGTACTGAAGAAATGAAATTACTTATATAACAAATCACTAAAAAATGTGTGTTTATTAATAAGGTTTCAAACACGCCATATATTAAACTGAGACCTTCCGACATTGGTAACTGATGATTGATTCAAATTTGGAATCACGAAATGAAATGATTATGTTACACCTCTAATATAATCATTTTCGTCTTCCGCATTTCCAACTTTAAACTTACATATTTTAGCCACAGCTTTGGTTTAAATCACACAACATCTTACAGATATATATCTTTATTGTCGTCATATATGAAATGATCGTAATTATGAAAACAGTTTTATATAAGCAGCTTTGCTTGTTACTGCATTCTATTCACTTATATTCTCTTAAATGATAAATTGTAAATACTAATGTTCTCCTGAATCAAATACCGTTTAAACCAAATAAGATTAGGCCGTAGAGCCGTTATCCGGGAAAACATTGTTATTTGGTGTTAATTTGATTCAAAATTAGATTTGCCAAATTTAAGAATAAATCTGACTTAGACAATTCTTCGACTACCTTTTTGTGAAATTAATTCGCGAAACGTTTGCTTACTTCTAAAAGTTTTGTATAATTTGAATTAAAGGTTCACAGGAATTTTAGCTCGGCACATATTGAAGGTGCGGAATTTTATCACATGGGACAACAAAATGAAATAGGTAAGAATTAATCGTTTAGTGTTGGTTGTATTATGATTAGAGACACATTATTGAAGATTAGATAAAGAGCTGACAGTTCTCTTTATAATGGGGGAGGGGGTGGATGGCCGAATGGTTAGCACGTGTGTGCTGTATCATAAGGCCTGTCATTGAGTCAACTGGCGTGGTTTCGAATCCCCGGTTGTACGTGCCAAAGAGTAGGGTCGCTTGTCCAACCTCGTGGGTTTTTCTCGGAGACCTCCGGTTTCCTACCACTGATAAAGACCCCTACGCCTAAGCGAATTATTGAAATAAAATTAAACCATATGTTAGTCTCGAAATGACCTAGTTTGTGTCCATTGGACGTTAAACTCCATCCCTCTCTCTCTCCCTATCTCTCTCTCTCTCATTATAATAGTTAATTATAGATAATGTAATGAAAGTCGGAGGCATTAGAAACAGCGGAACGAACGATACGCTAGATACAGTATAATTATCATCCGATCCACCCTCACAGAGAAGACTGGGCGAACTTTGAAGTTACAATTGAAGATACCATCCCAAGGATGAAAGTATTAGGAAAATAGGGTTCTTCTGCTGTATCCCTGTTAGGAAAAGAGATGGAGAGAAATGAGGTTTTAAGTCCACTCGACAGAAACTAGGTCATTTCCATTCGAGACTAACAATAATTCAATAATTTGCTTGCTCGAACGGGTCTCGGTAGATGGAAACTGAAGGACCCACAATTCTGGAAGGCGACTTGGCCTTGTTCAGGCGTTAGACCATTCTTTCAACCCTGTTATCCTTGGTGCACCGCGCAACCTGGACGCTTACGACTGGTCCCGAATCCTTCCACTTGATTTGATATATACGGAAAGATACATTATGTAAGATTTGGATAAAGAGCTAGCCATTCTTGCTATAATAGTTAGAAAATAGATAAAGTAAAATGAATAATTTGAAAATTTCATTCAAATTACTCTGTTGCGAGCGAAGATATTAGTCTTTGAAGGTTTGACAATACATGTGCAATAATATCAACCACCATACTGGTTGTTCGAAGCTAAGTCTCGCTCCTCCATTGTTAGCTTGAATCAAAATATGGCTGATCTGTTCTAATCTATTTAATATCGGAGAAATCCGATGCCATCGAGAGTTGATTATGGCCTGGATAAGTTAATTAATGTCTAATTAATAATTTGGAAAACATTTCAGGCCTAAAGAAAGACCTGCAATAGGCAGATTTCGCTCTTGCATAATGTATGTTTAATGTTTGTTGTGCAATTTCTGTGTTGTGTGTCTTGTCCGCTGGTTTGTCTAATGTATTTTGTTTGTGTGTACTGCTGTCCTCCTGTACATACTATTTGTTCTTATCGTTTTGTTTCAGGTAACTATCCCATCCATTTTCATATGTGTGATGACGTAGATGGTGCATCGGTACGTCACAACTCTATACATCATACGTTTGGGCGTTGTATAACTATTCACGGTACGGATGGTCTTAACGTAAGTTTGTTTACCTTATTACAATGTTGCACTAGCCATGAAACGAACGATCGTCTATGCTATGCTATGTTTTAGGTACCTGATAGTGTATGGTATGATCACCTGGGAAATGCTATATTTAAGGCATCTGATAATGTATGCTATGATTATGTTATATTTTAGGTAACCTTGTTTTTTTTTAGGTAACTGATAATGTATGCTATGATCATCTGGGACACGGATATTTTCTGGAGGACAGTGCAGAACAAAGAAATATTCTTGATGGTAACATTGGTATCTCTACCAAATATGGTGCTTTGATTTTATCTGATCGTAAAAGATCCTGGTGTAATTCAACACTTCAAAACTTCTGCGAGTAAGATATTTACAGTTTTCTGTTATGTGCATTATTTTGTACCTGGAATTTAGAGAAAACCAATCATTAATGGATATTAGTACTATAAAACTTTACAATAAGGTTACGAATTTGTTTTATAGCCTACAGATATTAACGTTGACCTTTAGTACAGTAGTTTGCGCTAGAACATGATCATTTTATAACAGGATGTTGTATGCTGTATAGTTGGGAATAAGTACAGTCTGTGTTAACAACAGTTTGTTGCGTTGTTCGGGAATATCTGATACCGACGGCTTTAACATATTTCATTGTAATGAAACTCCACATTTATATATATTAATTGTGGATTATTTATGTAATTTTAGAACAGCTTCTGTCGATCAGTGGGTGAGGCGCCGAGGTCGCGGGTTCGATCCTGGTGTTAGTGAAGAAAATTTGTCGGAATTTTATTTATTTTGTATTTTATTTATTTTGTATTTTATTTATTTTGTATTTTATTTATTTAGTTTGTATTTTATTTATTTTGTATTTTATTTATTTTGTATTTTATTTACTTTGTATTTTATTTATTTCATTATTTAGATTGTATTTTGTTTATTTTGTAATTCATTTTTAACTTGGTTAGTTACACCTTGTTGTGTTGTTCGGGAATATCTGATACCGACTGAACTTTAACATATTTCATTGTGAAGATCTATTTGCTGAAACGCCACATTTCTATTGGTAAGACGCCGAGGTCCCGAGCTCGATCCTGGTGTTGATGAAGAAAATTTATCGGAATTTTATTTATTTTGTATTTTATTTTTTATTTTTCAGTGGTGTATCAACATTTTGGATAACCCATCCTAACAACTATATCAGAAATAACGTAGCTGCTGGTTCAGAGGTACAGAATATGTTTATATCATTCTATTTTGATATTTTACTCACCCTGTCTGCTGCACTGGTCATGTAGGCGTTTGATGTTTTGTAAATACACTATTTCGGTCATTTGGAGATATGTGCACGTCCATCTGCACCTCGAATTTTCGTCTCACCCGAACAACATTTGCGTGTACACAAAGGAGAGAGAGCGAGAGAGAGAGAGAGAGAGAGGACCCGAAGAAAACCTACGAGGTTGGACAGGTGACCCTACGCCTTGTCACGTACAACAGGGAGAGAGAGAGAGAGAGTGAAATGGGGTTTAACGTCCACTCGACACAAACTAGGTCATTTCGGGACTAACATATGGTTTAATTTTATTTCAATAATTCGCTTGCGCGTAGGGGTCTTTAGCAGTGGGAGGAAACCAGAGGACCCAAAGAAAACCCCCGTACACAAAGGAACCATTGGCAGTAGCTATTCTAAGAATAGATAGAAATGAAGCTGTTGGGGTAAAATCTCCCTTCCTCTCATAATCATAGCAATAACCGTTACCGTTTGCATACCTCACAATCTCCTAAGTATTGAATTGACAACACATAAAACCACATGCCTTACGATGTTAGCTGAGTGTAGCAGCAGCAATTACGCAAGTTCTATACTACACAAGCTATTTCTGTGTGTTTCAGTCAGTGGGATTTTGGTTTATTAATTCTGATCGACCAATGGGACCATCAGCTGCCAGACAACTTGAGCGAGGTTTAGTTACAGAAAATAGTACCAGATATACCCCAGTAAAGGAGTTTTATAATAACGTCGCTCATTCTAACGTTAAGGTATCTATAGTTGCTTATTTTAGATAGTAAGTTTTATAATAACGTCGCTCATTCTAACGTTAAGGTATATATATATACTCGTGTTTTATATAGAAAGTTTTATAATAACTTCGCTCATTCTAACGTTAAGGTATATATAGTCACTTATTTTTTATATAGTAAGTTTTATAATAACGTCGCTCATTTTAACGCTAGGGTATCTATAGTAACAGTTTTATAATAACGTCGCTCATTCTAACGTTAGGGTATCTATAGTAACACTTTTATAATAACGTCGCTCATTCTAACGCTAGGGTATCTATAGTAACAGTTTTATAATAACGTCGCTCATTTTAACGCTAGAGTATCTATAGTAACAGTTTTATAATAACGTCGCTCATTCTAACGATAGGGTATTTATAGTAACAGTTTTATAATAACTTCGCTCATTCTAACGTTAGGGTATCTATAGTAACAGTTTTATAATAACGTCGCTCATTCTAACGTTAGGGTTTCTATAGAACTGTTTTATAACAACGTCGCCCATGCTAGTATCAAGATGTCTGTTTTATAATAACGTCACTCATTTTAACACCGATACATCTATAGTAAAAGTTTAATAATAAGGTCGTTCATTCCAACATCGGGGCATCCACAGTAACAGTTTTATAATAACATCGCTCATTCTAACATCGGGGCATCTACAATAACAGTTTTATAATAACATCGCTCATTCTAACATTGGGTCATCTACATATTTAAAATACAGATGTGGCGTCATCCTTTGATGTTGGAGTATTATTATTTCAAATAATCGTACGGGCAATGTGCCAAGCGTAACTTGGTAAAATATTGAACTCGAGTGACGTATTTCATTGCAAAGCACGTGCAAGTGTCTGTATTTTAAGTTGTTTAATGGTCTTGAGCTTAAGACATTGCGTAATATATTGTAAAAACATTTGGGACTCACGGCCCTCATGTTGTTACAATATATTACTTAATGTCTCGCTCTCGACCATTAAACAATACATAGTAACAGTTATAATATAATAACGTCACTCATTCTAACATCACGGTATTTATAGATACAGTTTCAGAGGAACGTCATTCAGTTTGGTTATTGAAATTTTCGAAAACAAGATTATATGGTAGATTTTGCATATAACAAGATTAAACAGATGAATAAATCATTTGATCACATATTCACGTGTTATCCGTGTAATGACCATTATGGTATTATTAATCATTCTCCTGTTTGTAATTGGCTGGATAATTTATATTTATATTTTAGGCTGGATTATTGATATTGATATTTTTGGCTGGATTATTTATACGATTCTATTTTAGACTCGGTTAATGATATTTTGTATTTTAGGCTGGTTTATTTATATTTATATTTTAGGCTGTGATATTTATATTGATATTTATATTTTAGGCTGGATTATTTATATTAATATTTTAGGCTGGGTTATTTATATGATTATGTTTTAGGCTGGATTATTTATGGACAGTAAGATATCGTATGGTCAAGTTTATCACAATGTTTATGTTCCTGAGACTGGTATTATTGGCGGGAATCAGCTGGATGCACGAGATCCACCCACACCATCTGGTGAAAGGGTTCACTCCATTTTAGTCAGGTAACAATTAAGTATATCGACATTTTAAATCCTATATCGACCATTTAATTCGAAAATACAAAGTAAACCTCGATAATTTTTTTTTAGCTTCCATTCAATGAAATTGAATATGTTTATTTAGTCTTTGTGTGGTTCAAAGATATAAAACGGATTAGAAGCGCATTACAAAATAGTACATTAACGCTTTATAACGTGGCTATTTTTAGAACGGATTAGAAGTGCATTATAAAATAGTACATTAACGCTTTATAACGTGGCTATTCACAGAACGGATTAGAAGTGCATTATAAAATAGTACATTAACGCTTTATAACGTGGCTATTCATAGAACGGATTAGAAGTGCATTATAAAATAGTACATTAATGCTTTAATACCATGGCTATTCATAAAATGGATTAGAAGTGCATTAAAAAATAGTACATTAATGTTTTAATATCGTGGCATATATCTATCGTGGCATATATCATAGCATATATCTTTTCTTCAAATAGACCGTTCTGTGTGGGTAGAATGATATATTTATAACTTATTAACCCACGACATAATAAACACACCATTCTGTGTGTGCAGTATGGTATATTTATAATTTCCCTCTTCCTATTTAACCCACGACCTTAATGTAGACACACCGTAAAACTTAGTATTAATCTGTGGGCAACAAATAAACCTCTGGAGGACAAATAGTTGAAGAAACAGAATCTTGTTAATGCATTGAATATGAGGTTTTCCAAGTGGAAATTACTCAATTATAAAGGAATGCATAACGTTTCTCGTAATTTTTAATACAGTTATCTTGCCAATCTGTTTCACAGAGAATTATATCTCTGTAAAAGATGACTACCTTCAACACGTGACGTCTCATCACGCGGCGTCCGTCATTGGCTCAATGGCGCGTGCATTGTTTCTGCAACGGGCAGAATGGAGTCTTTTACTCATTTTAATACCCATTTACACTAAATATGAAATAATTTTTACCTACAAATACGTCAAACGTCTTTATTTATTTTTCTAATGCATAAAAAAAATTTGTTTGGGAATTTAATTTGTCGGAGGAAAAAGTTTTAGAATTTAATTTGTCGGAGGAAAAAAGTTAATATATGGGGCTCATTAAGTCGCATCGATGTCATCCTTATCAGTGATTGTCGCGGCCTGGCGAATATTCACTGTTGATCAGTGTAATATCTTACGTTTACAGTCATACTTGTGTTTATTATTAACAGCATTCGCTAAAAGCTCGCCATAAAGTAGAATATAGTGCCATCCATCCAAAATAGCAATTACGAACAATTATTTTAAAATTTCGTAAACTCTGTGTATTAGTATGTGTATATAAACTACGAAAGGGAAACTAGGGTTTGGCTCTGTTTATCGCCTTATGGTGTTGAGTCTGAGGCTTTTAAAGACGCGGAGTTAGTGGGGTTTTTTTATGATGTGAAGTTAGTGTTTTTTAAATTATAATTCGTATATTACAGATATACCGGCTATAAAAACAGGAACCAAAATGCATGGATACGAGCAGGAAATTTTTTATTTCAAAACTCAACGTAAGTTGCATAGTTATAGTATTTGATAATTATGAATAAGAAATTGATTTTTTTTTCTTTTTATAAAAATGATATCTGCAAGGTATTTAGTTGGTTTCTTAAAGGGCAATATTGGTGCGATCATTATCACATATGTGATAGAACTGGTTAAATACGTTCCAAATATAATTTTAATACAGAGATCATTGCTACGATAGATGCGTTGTGAAGCTTTCAAGAAAGGGAAGTGACGAACGCAAAAGGAAAACACGAGTTATCCTTCTGTATAACTGACTGAAATGACGAGTCATAACAGATACACGGGCGAATTTATGCTCACTAATAATACCTTATGTCGTTAAGTCGTTATGTGAGGCTGTGAGGGTATATCTGACAATTCAAAAAAGCAATTGAATGTCACTAGATAAGGGAAAACGTTTAAGGGTTGGGTTACTTTTAATGAAATATGAAGTTATAATTCTCACGAAAAAATAAATTAATTTCAGATTTGCCGATTCTATACGAGGCTTGACAATGGCGATATCCGCCGGCAACACTGCTCAAGAGGTGAAGAATTCACTGTTTATTGGGGAAACGTTAAATCTTGGAATGCCAGAAACGTATCGTAACTGGTCTTACCCTGGTGCCAATAAACCAAAACAGGAGTTCCCCAGATCTTTACCATCTTATGATCCGTGAGTATCACCATTATTATCAAAGATTATAGATAATGTCGATAGATCCGTAGAAGTCAAATGCAATCCTAATTTTAAAATATGATTCAAATTGGTTGAGCTTCATTCCAGGTATTTCCTTGCACACGACAATATTGGGAAAGTTGAACCTATAAAATCAATTCTCTTAAAGATACATTATGCGAGATCAGATAAAGAGCTGGCAGTTCCCACTATAATAGTTAAAAACTAGATAATGTAAATGCAATTTGCTGAAAATTTCAGTCATTTTGATCCACTATGAACCGAGAATTAAGCGATTGAAATTTCGGCCTAGTCTCGACCATCATTACTACATGATAAAAAATATAGTCTCGATCATCCATTTCATGATTAAACTATGAATGGAAGTCGAGCAGCAAATGGGATCATAATCCAGTAAATATCGCAGGCTAGCGATGCCATCGAGAGTTGATTATGGTCTGGATAAGTTAATTAATGTCTAATTAATAATTTAGATAACATTTCAGGCCTAAAGAAAGACCTGCAATTGACAGATTTAGCTTTTGCATAATGTATGTTTACGTATTTACATAGAGATGACTAATTGAAAATTTCGCAATATTCGGAATCATTAAAAGAGGATGCATGTAAACCAGCTCCCCCTTTAAGTGTTTGGTAAAATTTTTTTGATAGACAGATTATGTATGTTAATATTTTAGTATTGTATTCGTTATTAATGGTTAATAATCCATTTCATTACATTTTAAAAAACGCATTGAGATTTTAATACTGCTACAGAGATGTCTTCATTAAATCATGACGATCATAGGTTGACCAAAGGTGTGTTAATTGCATTATTCTCTGTATTGCTTGCCTACCGAATATAGTTCACGATGCAAGGTGCGCTAATTGCAATATTCTCTGTATTCTTTGTCCATCGAACATAGTTAACGATGCATTATGTAAGGGCTAAATCGGCTTGTTGCAGGTCTCTGGTTTGGCTTCAAATATCGCATAAAGTACAATCTGATTAAAATACAGATCTATATTTCGTTTCGTTTTTTTTATACTTTCGATCGCCTACACTACATGCAGATCTGACAAGTTGTACTGGAAGGTCGCGTCAGAGGTCATACGGACCGCTTTTGACCCTATGACGGCAGACATTGATTAATCAACCAGCGTTGATGTTTCTAGTGGTTTATCCACAGTTCCGTGCATGGCACGCCAAGAACTTGCTGTAAGGGACCGTTTCATTGGCCAATCCATCACTTCAACCAAAACGCTTGTAATATAACAACTCTTCCAAATCCTAGTGTAGTAAAGACAAGTAAAACTTAATTTTGAACTATAAAAAACGAAAGTAGGATTTAGACATTTATTAACACGGCAAGACTATAATCAGCTCTCTAGATCATCGGATAGTCGAGGTTTCAATGGATTTAAAAATGTAAAGATGGACACTCGAGACGAAATCTCTTTTCTCAAATACTGTTGCTACGATAATGAACGATCTATATTTTCAAACAGTTAAAACGTCGCCCCGATTAAAGTAATTTGAATGAAACAACTTCCAGCTCTTTATCTTATTAGTAAAGGCGCGTCTTTAATAATTATGGGTGTGTTACAAAGATACTTTGCATGTATAACTTCCTATTCTGTGCAGAAGAGGTAATTAAGTGTTTATTCTACAAATTTTCAGGAATTATGCGTTACAAGGATATATCTTCTATGACGGACCCAATTACGTCACTAATTGTCACTTCACGAACTTCAAGAACCTGTTCTGGAACGATTCGTACGAAGCCGAGTGGGGAATTCCTGCATTCAGACCCGCTGGCGGTATCGGCTTTCTTCGGAAAAATGCTTTTCAATCGCAGGCTCAAAGTCAAGTCTCTGGTGCGTCTTTTGGTTTTTGTGATGTGGTAAGTTGTATTATAATAATCTAATAGGAACAGAGAATGTACATCTAGAATAGTAGTGACGCCCGGGTCCGGATGAAGGCAATAATAAAAGTGCCCCCAAATCATTAATAAACACGCCATTTAGTATGTTGTATGTCTGTGCCAATAAATCTACCAAACTGTATACATATTGCCATTTCACTGAAAGCTTCCCCCGGCTCTAATCTTTTTATTAGTGCCCTGCGTTGCTTCTGCGTTACAGCACACAAACGAACATTAGAATTCATGGTGGCGTTGTACAAACTCTTCCGGGTTCGGAGTTATATTACTTCCGGTTTCTCCTCTCCCCCTACCCCGCATGGTAAACAACATACAAGAGCATACAATATACATATCAGGATATAACCACCAAATGACGTATTAGACAGTAGCGATGAACGTTTTATCAACATAATATATTATTACACTTGATTTCTAAGAGCAATCATCGTATTTCCTTATGATATAACGAAATATTTTAATAAATAAGTTTTAAAAAATTAGCGCCTTCCGCCATTTATGACGTCAAATCTTTATCACTCAACAACATGATATTTATAGCGATAAACGTGTTATCAACATAATATATGTTATTACACGTAATTGCTTACCTAAATCATTAAATATTTCCTAATGCTATATGATATTTAAATAGATTTATAGCCATAGTACCTTGCTTCATTTCTGCTGTCACTGGTTCATCAACACAGGATAAAGGTCATTGTTGCCACAATAGCGATAAACGTCTTTTATCACCCAATAATAGGGTGGCCCATGCACCTACAGAAATACAGTCAACCGCTGATAGTTCGAGACTACCACTGAAGCGTGCACATTCGCCGTGTCGAGGCCAACTTTCTGACAGTATGATACTATAAATAGCCATGGCACGTGCAATTCTCTACAAATCTATCAACTATTACAGCCGTAAAAAATTTATTGTTGACGATTTTGAATAGCAGTAAAATTAAGCTTCTTGGTTATTACAGCAGATTTAGAAATTACGTTCGTTTCATTTTTTAAATCGCTTTATCATTAACTGTACCGTTAAGAGCGGCATCTTTTGGTTTAGTACAAATACTATCTCTGAAACACTCGGGTTAGACAGGAACATGATACTAGCAGTAGTTTCATTTTACTTTTACAAGCTTCTTAAAACAATTGTTGAGCTAGCTAACGTGCTCATTTCTTAATTCAATTTCTTGTTCTAGCTTTCTGTTATGTTTCGTAAAAAAGTAGCCTTGATTATCCCGACCTGTCAATCAGCCTTAGAATGGTCGATAGACTGGTTAAGCGACTCTAATTTCAAAACAAGGGCACGTAACCTATCTTTTACTCAAAAGTGTCTGGATGTTATGGACGACACATGGAACCAGTTTTCAGTCTATTATTTATAGATGATTAATGGTCATAGCTTATTAAGTACAACATGATCGTTTATTTAGTGACTATAATTGTGTGAAACTGATTTGAGGCTTGGCATATATATAAATATTGTGGCGAAATTGTCGAGATTTATGGAGATATTTATTTATGGTGGGTCACCCTACCAATAATACATTCTACAGTAGATATCGCTTGTGTGATAAATTTCATAATCTACTGCGATATCTCCTTTACATGAATTTGATTGGTCAGTTAAAAAGGAACTCCTTTCTTTATTTTCAAACAACAGTTCATTTTTTTTATTAAAAGTAACTTCTTTTTTGTATTAAAAATAAGCAATTTCTATTTAATTGACCTAGATGGAAACACTGGGTCAATATAAAGGACTTTGCAATGGCTGACTTGCTGTCAAAAAATTATGTATCACTAGCCTTAATGTAATGAGGTTCAGTAAAAGTGAAGTCTATAGCAAATAATTATATTTATTTATTCGTGCATGTAAGAAAGGATTGGGTGATAAATAAAATCCCCTTCTCATCTATTTTGATACCAAGAAATATCAACACTCGTCGATAAAGTAAAACTCTCTTTTACTTTCTCGACTTGTGTTGATATTTTTTGATTTCATAAAAGACTCGTAGGAGATTCTCTATATCAACGCACAACAACATGATATTTATAGCGATAAGATGTTATTACACGTAATTGCTTACATAAATCATTAAATATTTCCTTATGCTGTATGATATTTAAATAGATTTATAGCTTTAGCACCTTGCTTAATTTTTACTGGCACAACTTCATCAACATAGGATATTTATAGCCACAAGCTTGTTATCAACATATATTGTATTACACATGATTTATAACCAAAATCATTTAATAGTTTCTAATAATATGACGAAATATTGACGTTGTCGCAAAAATAAATTTATGCACGTCGGACATTTGAACAATAGTATTAAGATGTTGGTGTTGAATTTGTAGCGAATGGGTGTTGGATTTGTAGCGAGCGGTTATTGGATTTGTAGCGAATGGTTGTTGAATTTGTAGCGAGTGGGTGTTGAATTTATAGCGAGTAGGTGTTGAATTTGTGTGAGTGGTTTTTCGTCGGGTCCGTCGGTTTACCCGTCACTGCTGAAGCCCCTGATACTTTATATACGATCTGCAGACATCAAATGAAATGAATTGCGACGCCCTATTTTCCTACACCAACCAAGGTAATGAAAATGGGCAATGTACATGTGAAAAACCAAATTTGTTAGCTATGTAATGTTGTCATGTTTTCAATTATAGGAAGAAGGTAACTGGGTATTTGATGGTAATAGGAGTAACGTAGACTTTGATGAAATGGACGGTGATCTACAGGCAACGTTTTATGATGCCGATGGAAGTGTAACGGGGCATGCTGGGACACAAGTGGTCAAGGACGTACCTTTTATGACGTCACCAAAATGTTCTCATCGACCTGGTTGGCAGATGTACGTTTGTCCTCATAGATATGCCAAGGTATTTAATTACCATTCTAACTAGGATGTCCTCTATTTAATTACCATTCTAACTAGGATATCCGGTATTTAATTACCATTCTAACTAGGATGTCCAGAATTGAATCTAAAAAACCTGAACTTACTTCAATTAAAGATGTAGTATTAAAAAGCTAAGTCCGGCTTCAAATATTTAAATTATTATTTAGTTAGACACTTATTCAAATGACAGACGCGTAGCCAATTCTTTAGAGAGAGAGAGAGAGAGAGAGAGAGAGAGAAATGGGGTTTAACGTCCACTCGACACAAACTAGGTCATTTCGGGACAAACACATGCTTCAATTTTATTTCAATCATTCGCTTGCGCGTAGGGGTCTTTAGCAGTGGGAGGAAACTGGAGGACCCGGAGAAAACCCACGACGTTGGACAGGCGACCCTACTCCTTGTCGAGTACAACCGGGGAATCGAAACCCCCGCCAGTTGACTGAATGACAGGACGTATGATACAGCGCGCACGTGCTATCCATTCGGCCACACCCCCACCCCCCACCCCCAATTCTTGTATATTAGTCGGATTAGACCATCCGCGCGTCATTTAATCGGGTATCGAAAAAGTGGAAAATCGAGACTTCATTTATTATCGTAGCAATGACAATCGAGACTACGCTATTCTTGCCAAAACTTCAGACATTCATAACTTTGCTCAGAATAAAGTAACTTGACTTAAATTTAAATATTTTCATTTTTGATTATCTATTTTTAAACTTTTTATCCAAATCTTGCATTTTTAATAGTGTACATAAAATGATATTTTCTAAAGTGACCAAAACGCAGCAGTATAAGCAGTATCGAGTTTCGAGTTCAGATATCTTTAAAATAAACTATAAATAACTATGGGGTATACCTTTTTGAATAAATGATTAAATATAGAAATCTAATATACTTGTGAACGCAAGAGAAACGATATTTAACAAAATAAAACTAGCAAAACCGATACACACTTTAGTGTTATTTTTATAACCTCTCGTTTTGTAGATGACATTTTATGGTGATGGCGCTATTACTGATAAAAAGGGGAACTATCCAATTCAGTTAGTTCGTGATGACGTCAGCCATACTCCATATTCCATTAAAGGTATCGTTATATGTGTCATTTTTATATTATAAAGAATTTTTATATAACGCCATTTCCACTAAGAGTATTCAAAAGCACACGAATCTTAAAAATGAAATGAAATGGTGTTTAACGTCCAACTGTTCGGTCCCGATTGAGCTAATATAGACGGGCATATGCTATACAGTGTGCTATGCCGAGAATTTCGCTCGGACAGCGGTGCTAAGGCCTACTCTTATATCGAATTAGAACAGCTAAGGGATCTTTACGTCCACGCCAATGTGTACTGGGGACCTCGGTTTTTCGTCCCATCCACCGGGCTAGCGACTTAAAAACTTAGCCTCCGTGGGTGCCATGAATGTTAGTACCATACTGCAGTAAAAAAAAACCGATTACAAATGTTAAGTAAAATATATATCAAAATTGAAAAAAAAGTGGTGGATGAAAACCGAATAACATGCCACAGATAATTGGTTGTATGTCGCCTGTTGACGCTCTAGAATTGATAAAGATTTCTGATAACTACCAATGGAGTTATCGCCCTTGATCGCAATTGTAAAGACAAAGTCTTGTGGGAGCTCCAGAGGCAAACGTTATTATCCGATTGTCTTAATATTCAAGTACAGGCGAAGAAGTCGATTGATTTTCAACGATTTATTATAAATACTGGACATATCGCATAAACTTTGTCAGAGTTATATGTATTTTACTTTCCATGAAGGACAAGATGGTAGAAAGGCTTTTGCAGCCTAATTTTTTACCCGTCTCAAATAAAAGTTTTCTTATTCTTCTTATGGGGATCATGGTGCATGGCTAAGTAACCTGGAGGTCGGGTGTTCGATCCCTGCATTGGCCGAGAAAGTTCATCCAGATTTTCCGGCGTGGTTCCCCCTTGACAGTGATGCAGGACGGGGGGTCTGACAAAGACAGCTGTCTAATCGTCCGGATGGGCCGAAAAACCGAGGTCCCGTGTACACATTGGCGTGCACGTAAAAGATACCATGACAGTAAAATGGAATTTGATACAAGAGTAGGTCTAGTGCCACTGTCCGGACAGAGAGAGAGAGAGAGAGAGAGAGAGAGAGAGAGTATAACCAGTTCTTTATTATGTTTGTAGGTAACCACGGTTTAACCCATCTTACCATGCTGAATAAAACCTACACAGTTCATTTTAATGGTAATGCCCCCACTACTGTTACAGTGTACGCCGATAATCTTGTAAAGTAAGTCACCAACCTTTAATATTAAACGGCTCCAAGAGAACAGCAAAATAGACCTTCACCAACCATAGTACTGGCGGCGGTCATGCACCATGCAGTGTACTATGAAGTGTCCTGACCGCGGCCTTTCTGCCTTCTCTTCATCAAATTTCAACAGCCTTGGATTTGTACTCCATTTGAACAACATTTTTGGAAATCCCAAGGCATTTTTGGAAATCCCAAGGCATTTTTGGAAATCCCAAGGCATTTTTGGAAATCCCAAGGCATTTTTGGAAATCCCAAGGCATTTTTGGAAATCAAAAGGCATTTTGGGGAAATTTCATGGAATGTTGGGAAATGAGAAGGAATTTTGGGAAATCCCAAGGCATTTGAGAAATCCCAAGGCATTTGAGAAATCCCAAGGCATTTGAGAAATCCCAAGGGATTTTGTCAAATCCCAAGAAATCTAACCCGGGACATCATGGTTTACTGGACTAGAGCTATACGCACTTGGCCACATTCGCTCCCAAACCAGGTCCATGTCCCTTGTATTGATATTAATGATATTAAAATATATTACCATCTAATGCCATTGTGGACTTCAATTTATCTTATTCAATGTTTTAGGGGAGATTTTATCCGACTTGGTTTCTGTTTCCCCAAAGATTCAACTCAATTTGAAATAAGCAGCTGGTATCCCTACATCAGTAGCCAATATGCGCCTACTATACAAGTTAATTCTATAGAGGAACTTGACGCCGATCAATCAGGAAGAGCCTACTACTGGGACTCTAATATAGGGTAGGTCTTGTGTCTTCATGGTTTCTTTAAAACTCTAATGGTCATAATATTTTACAAACATCGTCCATTTTGATAACTAATACATTGCTTGACTATAACGTCAAGATATATCCCCAAATGAAACCCCAAGGTCACAAAATGATCGCCTGCTAACGGTACCGTACTTCAGTTCTTTGGATTTCGACCGATACACTCATTGTGCAAACACTGTGGAACACCTTTCCTTTAAATCTCAGCATTTCACAATGTTTAGAAACGTTCAAATTAAAACTATAAACCCATATTATAAATAGTGAAATATAAAATTGTTTAGAAATTATAAAACTACACAATCTTGCTTTATGAATTGAGTGCAGTGAAAATACAAATTGTTTATTTCCACAGGCTAACAAATTTTAATGCACGTAAACCCAATTCCAACCAAAACCAAGTAAATCATAAGCCGACTTCCTTAATGGGAATCTTGGGACGCTGTGACGTACTTTGGGTCTTGAATTTAGAGCTTTGCGCCGCCTTGAGTTTTTGTACCACTTCCAAATGGAAAATATACCGTGGTTTCAAAATTATTTTCAATGCTATTGGCAGATTATTATGACCTTCATTGTTTCATATTGCTCCACGAAAGTGTCAGTGTGGTTTCCAACGCTATCGACAGATTATGTTCTTCATTACGTCATAATCGTGATGCTCAATCACAAACGAACGTAATACTGTGGAACAGATGTGCTTCAAATCGACGCCAACTGTCCCAGAAAGCTCCTCCCCTTTAAATATCGGATTTTGAAGAAGGGGTTTGATCTTATACGTTGAGCGTTATATATAAGTTATTAAAAATATACTGTTTTTCAAAACATTTCAGATTATTTTTCATCAAATTAACGTCCAACGAAACGAGAACAGATCGCCGGAACTGTCCGAATGGAAAATGTCCCAACTTTAAAATCAATCGTCTTGATGGTGGTGTTAGTAGTGACTGTCTGACGTCAGCTTATGGTCCATACACGAAGGAACCAGAGGTAGGATATAGAGTCGACCATTTATTCAGATGATTGTACCATTTCTCGTATTATCTAAAAATATTTATATAAAACCTATTTAAAGATATTCGTTCGTTACGCATGTAGTGGGCTATGCCCACACGCACAATGGCGGATACTTCCATTACGTAGTTGGAGTATGCGCTTCCTGGAAATACAGTATTCGAATACAGTTTTAGGACCAGTGAAGTGCACATTTACGATGACCATTTCCTTGAAAGCCTTAAAAACGAATTGGTCATTTTGGTAAGCATATTTATGGCAACGTGAAGGTCTTTTTAGAATTTGTCAAATGTTGTGGAAATATTCACCTGATATAATACAATATTTCAGGCGGCTGAACCCAAACCAGATGCTTTACCATGTCAGACTAAATCATCACAGGTAACAAAATATTTTTCTTCTAGAATCACCTGGCAGGTTAAATAGATTATCTGGTTGTAACGTCTTCAAACAAAATTCATTCAATATGCGTTATTAATGGACGCATAACCATATTATTTGTTAGATATACATATTAAACATACATTATGCAAGAGCTAAATCTGCTACTTGCAGGTCTTTCTTTAGGCCTGAAATGTTATCTAAATTATTAATTAGACATTAATTAACTTATCCAGACCATAACCAACTCTCGATGGCATCGTTAGTCTGCCATATTTAGTGGATTATGATCCGATTTACTGCATAACTTTCTTTCACGATTTAATGATTAAATGGATAATCGAGACCATGACTTTTGTCGTACCAACTTTAGTAATGATAATCGAGGCTAGGCGGAAATTTCAATGGCTTAGTTCTTGGTTCATATAGGATCAATTTGAATGATATTTTCAGCAAATTGACTTTACATTATCTAGCTTTTAACTATTAAAGTGAGAACTGCCAACTCGTTATCGAATCTCCCATAATATATCTTTAATTCAATAAAGTTAAAAATTCAACTCCGTGGTGTACAAGCTTCACGAACACGATAATATGTTTCTAAAACGTTTGAAGGGTGGTGGATGGCCAAATGGTTAGCACGTGGGCACTGTATCATAAGGTCTGTCATTGAGTCAACTGGCGTAGTTTCGATTCCCAGGTTGTACGTGACAAGGAGTAGGGTCGTCTTTTCGTCCTCTTGGGTTCCCCTCTCTCTCTCCCCCTCTCTCTCTCTCTCTGGAACGTTTGATGTAACACTTGTTTTCTTTTAACCACGAGTCGAACGAAGTTAAAGATGGATATTGAACTGGGATATGTCCGTCCTCTCGTACCGATTATTTCCCTGGAGCATAACATCGTTCTATTAATAAAAACAAATTTTCTGTCTTTGGTTGGTATAAGATATATTTTTGAAATGTTGTACACTCATCAATCTGTTACAGAACTTGTATCTTTTCTGGACAAACTGGCGTAGCTTCGATTCCCCGGTTGTACATTACAAGGAGTAGTACTGTCGCCTGTCCAACCTCGTAGGTTACCCCTAGGTCCTCTGGTTTCCTCCCACTGCTAAAGACCCATACGCGCAAGCGAATTATTGAAATAATATTGAACCATATGTTAGTCCCGAAATTACCTAGTTTGTGTCGAGTGGACGTTAATGTGGCATCTATAATGTTGTTGTTTATATGTATCAGGGCTTGGGCGCTGGACCACAAAGAACAACGTCGTACGTACCACCAGCTCTGGAACCACCTAAATGTCCGAGTCTACAATCTACAGGTAGGCGTGATTACCTATTACACTGAGTTGTTTAATGCCGAAAAGAACTATTTTACAAGATGCAACTCTTTGCACTTTAAATCAATTCATAGGTTTTGTTTTCAGATGTCGGTGATGTCTTATTGAAGTACCGTGGGTGTTACAAAGATGACTGGACATACAGAGATTTTAGTCTCGAACTAGTAAGACTGTTTACGTCCATGACAAGAGAGATTTGTATCGGTAGGTGTTACCGTAAAGGTTACCTATATGCTGGTATTCAGAACGGCAATGAATGTCGATGTGGGAACAGTTTTGGACGACATGGAGCGGACCCAGCTGGTTGTGACAAGCCGTGTGCAGGAAACAAGGCGGACATGTGTGGTGGTGCTTTGAAGAATGACGTTTTTGCTACAGGACTTAGTGAGTACCGTATATCCATCGATAGTAAGGCAAATCTAGCTATTTGGGAGCTATTATTACTAGCTAAGAAATGAAATGAAATAAAATGGGGTTTAACGTTCTACTGTTCTGCTCCGAACTGGGCTAATAAAGACGGGCATACGCCATACAGTGTGCTATGAGGGAAATTTTGCCCGGACAGCGGCACTACGGCCTATTCTTATATCGAATTCCAACTGTCCAGATTTTCCGGCGTGGTTCTCCCTTGTCAGTGATGCAGGACGGAGGGCCTGACAAGGACAGCTGTCTAGTTGTTCGGATGGGACGAAAAACCGAGGTACCGTGTACACATTGGCGTGCACATAAAAGATCCCTTGACGGTTGGAATTCGATATAAGATTAGGCCGTAGTGCCGCTGTTCGGGTAAAATTTCCCTCATAGCACACTGTATGGCGTATGCCCGCCTTCATTAGCCCATGGACGTTAAACCCCATTCCATTTCATTTCATAAGCCCAGTTTTTTCATATTTCGTAATTTTGCATTACGAGAAACCGAGGCTAAGGTGATTTTAGTCCAGTTGCAAGTTATCATTGCCTTAGTTATCATTAATTATTTTTAAAAGACTAATTGCATAAAATTTCATATTTCAGCTTTGCCACCAGAACCAAGCCGCTGCGGTCCTGGATCACGTGGTATTATCGTCAATCAGAAATGTTACTATCTTGTTTCTGAAGAGCGCAACTATATGTCAGCACAACGCGGATGCGCCTTATTAGGTGGTAATTTGGCTAGCATACATTCTGCCACAGAGCAAGAAATAATCACTGGTTATCTTCGACAAGGATCTGGCGACGTTTGGTTTGGGTTAAATGACGTCACAAAGGAAGGGGTGTTTGAATTTATAGACGGTAGCCAAACATCTGAATTTTCCTTTTTTAAAAATGGCGCTCCTAGCAACTGGTGGGGTGAAGAAGATTATGGAAGTAAGACAATCTATTATGTATTTGGACAACAGCTCTCTGACAACATATCATATTAGTACATACCAATGTCAAACACGTTTCTTTCGTGATATTATTGGGTTCCCATACATTAAGAGTAGGATGTCCGCGAAGTCAAATAGGTCCGTAGCCGATCTAATTTGGGACAGTTCGGTTCGTGAAAAATATAGAGCAATCAAATGCAGTATGGAATTGTTGATATTCAAACAATAAGTTTCAGTAGCCGATTTCAGAGAGTTACAATAAAAGGATTGGAGATCATTATGTCCTGGAAAAACAGGAATGCATATTGTTTTATACAGAATTTAATGTTTCAGATTAAGACTTACATGACAACTAGTGGCTCGCCCCATAAGTAAATAAGTAAGCATGCCTTTAATACTGGAAATCTGACTGAACAAGTGTAGACCCTTTAGGAGATCCCTAAAATGTACCAAACAAAGGTTCCGCGACTTGTCAAACTAATGGAATTGATCCAGATTACTCCTTTAAAAATAATTTGATTATATATGCGAAGACGTTAAAGGGACAATAACACTCTTGCTGGCTTGACAGCCCCAGAAAATAAATAATAGCCTTATTCTAAGTACTAGATGCTTAAGTGTCTTACCTGTTGTGTAAATTATCCATTACATCCTATTTTACTTGTCCAGAGGGTTCGAAAATATTTTAAAATCCAAGTCACATTTGAAAAGGTTTACGTAAGGCTTTTCAAATCATTCAGTTGCATTTTTCCAATTTTTTAAATTAGGTGTGTTAAGATGAAATGTATATCATCAATTAATTGGAATATTGTAAGATAGTACAATTTGTTGACTAGAATAAAGATTGAGACATATTATTTACTTACAACAAGAGTGGTATTGAAACCTTTAAGAGACTGAATATTTCTATAATACAGTGTTATCAAAAGTCGGTATTGAATGCCGTGTCTGTAAAGGTATCCTTGGAAAGTGGAAGTCAAAGATAAGTTGGTAGCAATGCAATTTCCAGGCAACATTCGCCCGTGCACTACCCCAGACAGAAATGAATATTTAATAAACGAAATATTGTGTTGACGAGGCTTTATGCTAGGCTCCCACTATCACAATTCACGCTATGTGATTTTAATCGTGGTGATCCTATCAGGTCATTCCTAGCAATCCTGTTGATCGTATCGAAACGTATCCGAACGCACCTGCACGTAGAAGGTCGTGGACGCATCAGGGACAATCCTATCGTAACGCAACGCAGGACAGTCCGAATCTAGCTTTACATTATATTATATTCCATCCTGTCTTAATTATAGTAATGGACAGCAAGGCTATGTATAAATGGGATGACCGTGGACGAGACGAGAAAAGACGATTCCTGTGTCAACTTCCATCTACCCCTGTTTCAAACGTTATAGGTAATTCCACATTATCATTGAATTTTGTTTTGAAAAAAGAGGCCATTACATGATATTAATGTTATCCCAGTCTTGTAACGACATTTTCAACTCGAACCAGACATTTTGAATTTTTAGCAAATGACCGGTTTTGAAGTCCCATCTGACTGACAAGGCGTCACTCGAAGTTACTCAGTTTCTTAACGGGAATGGTGTAATCGAAAAGCCAGGCCGGGTACTGGATTATCGACTAGCATTTTCCGAGACTCGAATTCGAAGAAGAACCACGAAGAAATGTTCAAAACCAGTGGTGGTGCCTATGGTGGGTCTGGCAAGGAAATAAAACAAAATCGTAACCCAACCGTGTACACATAAAAATAAATAGTTCGAAATCGAAGAAGTAATAATGGAGAGGCAAAACTGTAGCCATATTTCTCTCAAAATTACCAAAGAATTGCGTTGACGAGACAGTAAACGCCTTTCCATTTATCCATTAAATGGACAAATATTTGACAGATAAATAATATTTGTGTTATTTATATTTGACACATTTATATTTGACAGTAAGATAATATTGTCTTATTTATATCTGACATTAAGATAATATTGTATTATTTATATCTGACATACAGATAATATTGTATTATTTATATCTGACAGCAAGATAATATTGTATTCTTTATATCTGACAGTAAGATAATATTGTGTCACTTATATCTGACAGTAAGATAATATTGTGTTGTCTATATTTGACAGAAAGTTGTGGTTTTAAGAACCAGGGTGTAAAATTAGGATCAACAGGTGGGTGTTATGCTGTTATTAATACTGGTATGACGAGAGAAGATGCTGAATATTCATGCTTTACTAGATTTGGTGTTATAGCTCCTTTTACAACACAGGTAGACAAGGTATTTATAGTTTACTCGTTTTACAATACAGGTAGACAAGGTATTTATAGTGTACTCATCGCTAGATGACGTCAGCTTGGATCCAGTCTGATTGAAATACAGATCTATATTTCGTTTCGTTTTTTATACTTTCGATGGCCTACACTACATGAAGATATGACCGGTTGTAGTGAGAGGTCGCGTCAGAGATCATACGAGCGGCTTTTTGACACTATGACGTCATACATTAATTTGATCAACCAATGCGCAACGTTGACGTTTCTAGTTGTTTACCCACAGTTCCAGTTCCGTCCATCACACGCCAAGAACTCGCCGTAACGGACCGTTTCATTGGCTAATCCCTCACATTAACCAGAACGCGGCTTATATAACAACTCTTCCATATCCTACTGTTGTGAAGGCAATTTAAGTAAAACGAAATTTTGAACTATAAAAAAAACGAAACGAAAAACATTCTGTGTTTTAACCCGATTGGCTTCGATCGATAGAAACGAGTTACGGTAGCTCTGCTGTAAAGGTGCCGGCGTACTAACTAGGCGATCCCAGGCGTTGGCCGAGTCATTCGACTGGAATTACCACCACGGTTTTCCGTTGTCAGGGGTGTAGAACCGGAGAGCCTGGCAGTTATATCAGTTTGTATATTATAGAGTGAGGTTATTCAACAGTTATATCAGTTTGGTATAGAAATGGATTATTGGGTAGGAGAAAAAGATGAAGCAACTGGTAATTTTATTGGTAAGTTTATTTCTAGTTATTTGCTTTAAACGTTGGACCTTTGGTAGCTTTTGCATTATTGTCAGGGCGATGTTTATTTGTGCAACTATATAAACTACATTATATAAGCCACCGTGCCTCAGTGAGTCAGACGCTGGCTTGCTAACCTGGAGGTCCGGGCTTCGATCTTGGTTGTGGCTGAGAAAGTACCTCAAGATTTTCCAGCGTGGTTTCCCATTGTCAGTGGTGCAGCCCTTGTCGGGGAAGGGGGTGACAAAGACAGCACCTTTTATTCGGGTGCTCTTTTATGGATTGGCGTACACGCAAAAGAACCTCTGAGAGTTAGAATTAAAAAAAAGCCATGGATACAGGGGTATTTAACATGAAAATAAAGGCGCAGAAAAAAAAAACTTATTGTTATTTCAGAATTAGTGTACAGTAGGTTGTTTAAATCTAACAGTATTGGTCAATGGGATTCCAATGGTGCTATTTGTCTTCTAAGTAAGACAAATTATATATTACTACAAACCAAATTGTTCTACAAACATCGCGGATTACTTGTTGTTCAATATAGAAAAATAAGTCGAAAAATGATGCCGAATGAGTTCTGTAATTTTTTATGGGACGACTCACTGTGAAGGAGTATAACAGCTCTGTATATTTCAAGGGGCGACTCACTGCGAATGGATATTCCCATAGCAAAAAGAAGGCCATCACGGCGGCAAACTATTCTACACTTCGAATCGTTGTTTCAGCAAATATTCACGAAATCATGATGGTATATCACCAGGGTTGTGTATGTGTGATCGGGGGTGGGGGGTCTCGCTAACCTGGCATTGACCTAAAAATTTCAACTGGATTTTCCAGCGTGGTTTCCTCGTGTCAGTGGAAGGAAAAAAAACCTAGGTCCCATGTACACACTGGTGTGCGCGTAAAATAACCCATGTCAATTTGATTAAATTGATATAAGAGTTGGCCTTTGCGCCGGTGTCCGGGGAAAATTTCCCTCACAGCAAAGGTGTATGACGTATGCCCCTCTCCATTAGTCCAGTCGGAGCAGAACAGCAGGACGTTAAACCCCATTTCAATTCATTCCCTAATTACGAATTGACGTTTGGGTGCCCATGAGCAGATGTTTTCTAGTCCACTAATGCATAATTATATTTTATCTGAATAATTAAGCTTCTTCCCCCTCATTTTATTTATTTAATTTTTTTTGGCAGGAAATCATTTACCGTGTCCTGATGGTAAGAATAATATAATATTTTTGATTAACTTACGTTATTTTTTTAACAAACCGTCTCAATTTATATTAGCTGAAAGTTGGAATCGGATGTCCTTAATCAGTATAGACTTCGAACGTCGATAAACTTATCAATTATATGCCAATTAACATAGGGAGATAATTAGCTAGTTCTGGTGATGACGCGAGTCGATTAGGTGCATGCAGTCAATTAGGTGCCAGTGGGTAAGTGAGGGATGGGTTATTACGTTATATTGTAATGTCCATTTAGACGCAGAATCTGTATGTATTATAGCTCCAAGCCAATTGTCGTGAGTCAATTAGATGTCAGATGGGTCAGAGAGAAATGGGCTGTAGTGGGTTATTAAGTTATATTGTAATGTCAATTGGACGCAGAATCTGTATTATAGATCCAAACCAATTGTGGCGAGTCAACCAGATGCAAGTTAATTAGGTGTCAATGGGGTGATTGAGAGAAATAGGCTATAGTGGGTTATTAAGTTATATTGTAATGTCAATTAGAAGTCTGTACTATAGCTCCATGTCCATTGCGGCCCTTTAAGTACCAGTCTAAAAGTGTCTGATGGAGAAAACCTGAAATTTCACGGAAGATTGAAAGCATCGACTACAGGCATAATCAAAGTTTTTATTAATCGGAAGTCAATACATAATCCACAAGTTAAAAACTAGATAATGTAAAGGGAATTTGCTAAAAATTTCAGTCAAATTGATCCAATCTGAACCGAGAATATAGCGATTGAATTTTAGGCCTGGCCTCGATTATCACTACTAAAGTCAGTACGATAAAAATCATAGTCCCGATTATCCATTTTCTGATTAAATCACCAATGAGCGTTGAGCAGCAGATCGGATTCCAATCTAGTAAATATCGCAGGCTAGCGATACCATCGAGATTTGATTATGGTCTGGATAAGTCTGGATAAGTTAATTAATGTCTAATGAATGGTTTATATAACATTTCAGGCCTAAAGGAAGACCTGCAATAGGCAGATTTAGCTTTTGCATATGTTTAAATTAGTTTGAGTGCTATTAAATCAAATCAATTATATTTAGGTTGGGTGGCATTCAGTGGTTCGTGTTATTTATATACTGGTAAAATTGTTGGATCTTATGAGAGAGCTACACAGCTATGTAATGGGTAAGACTTTAAATTAGCCACATTACCATACTGTATATCCTATCAAATTATATAAACAACTAATTATAACATATTCTATCAAATTATATACACAACCACTATATGGAAGACCAAACAGCGCTTTATTCAGTGTTCTTATTACTTAGTTTTTGATTTATAGTCACTAATTCGAATCTCTTCTCTTTTCGTATTTCAACATTTGTACACTAAAATCATGGACTGAGTATATACGGTTCATGCTAAAATTAACCTTTTGTATCTTAAAATCAACATTTATTGTTTTATAAATCAACATTTATTGTTTTATAAATCAACACTTATTGTTTTATAAATCAACACTTATTGTTTTATAAATCAACATTTGTCAATTTCAGATTTGTAAATTGTATTTTTTGTTTAAATTTAATTGTATTTTAATACATAGGTATAATTTATTTTAGAAAATCAAAAACTAGATTTACATCTCATTAGAAACAAATTTTCAAATAAAAATCTCCACTTACCAACCTTGCAAAATATTTCCCCAAATTCTTCTTCAGTTGGTGGTGGTGGTATGGGGGGGGGGCGCTGAATGGTTTAACACGCACGCTTTAGATCATACGGTCGGTCTATCAATGAGTTGAGTAGCGTGTTGTCGATTCCCAGTTTGTTCATGGCAAGGTGTAGCATTGTCTATCCAACATCGTGGAGTTTGTCCTTGCCTCCCGGTTTCCTATCACTGCTTAAAGCACATACATGCAAACGAATTATTTAAATAAAATTGCACTGCGTGTTAAACCCGAAATGATCTAGTTTGTGCCCGAGTGGACGTTAACCCACACTTGCAATTGTCGGAGTAGGGGTTGGAGGTTTTCAGACTGTGTGGCAATTGTCGGAGTAGGGGTTGGAGGTTTTCAGACTGGATGGCAGTTGTCGAGTAGGAGTTAGAGGTTGTTTACAGAGTGGGTGGTAATTGTCGGAGTAGGGGTTGGAGGTTGTTTTCAGACTGGGTAGTAGTGGTCTGACTTGTCAGGAAACATAATCTCTGTATATCTGATTAATATAATGTCTTTCACTTTAAAAGGGGACGCAGTAACCTGGTAACCATAGAAACAAAAGAAGAAAATGATTTTGTACATGAATTTGTGAAGCAGATGGAAAATGGAACAGCCCAGAATCTTTATTTGGGTAGGCACAATCTTCAGACAATATTTTTAAAAAATATACCGAATTATTACAAAATATACGCTATATTATTGTTAATCATGAAAACGATGATTTTCAAATGCACGATCCCGCAACCGAAAGCTCCCCTTCCTCAACAAAAAGTATACTTGAAACGATTTATGCCGCGCTGGAGAATAGGCCTAACCATGAGCGGTCTTGTTTTGTAGAATATGTTGTAGGCGAATTACGCAATCTTTATCATGGACCTGCAATATTTGGTGCTGTCAAAAGTGTTAAACATACTGGAAAGGCAATCGGTTGTCGTTCACGTCATTATCTGAGGAGTATAAAGCCATCTACATTTACCTACAGTCTGATTATCGGTGGGCGATATAATGATGGATCTACATAGTTGCACTATTTTGATCATTTTTAAAACCACGTCGCGGAAAAGTTTTCATTTGAATTGAATGCCGAGAAAAATGTAAATATAAACTAGACCTTTATGGCATCGATTTAAAACGCGGCCCATATCTCAGATAATAATGGAAGTTTTCTTCAAATATTCATGCATGCCAGTTAAATTTAAAGATTAATTGAAAACACAAATAATATTATAACTTTCACAAGATTAAAAAAAATGAAATGAAATGAGGTTTAACGTCCTACTGTTTTGCTCCGATCTGGGCTAATGAAGACGGGCATACGCCATACAGTGTGCTATGAGGGAAATTTTGCCCCTGGAGCGGCGCTACGGCCTACTCTTATATCGAATTCCAATTGCCAAGGGATCTTTTACGTGAACGTCAATTTGTACACGGGACCTCGGGTTTTCGTCCCATCCGAACGACTAGACAGCTGTCCTTGTCAGGCCCTCCGTCCTGCATCACTGACAAGGGGAAACCACGCCGGAAAATCTGGATGAACTTTCTCGGCAAATGCAGGGATCGAACACCCGACCTCCAGGCTAGCGAGCCAGCGTCTTACCCACTTAGCCACGTGACCCCCCACAAGATTCAAACTATGGGCAACTATATTTTGTCTAAAAGTACGTAAAATTCCCGAATACCATAGGTCATAATAGTATAAAATAAGCCAATCCAACCTCGTGGGTTTTCTCCGGTTTCCTCCCACTGCTAAAGACCACTACGCGCAAGCGAATTATTAAAATGAAATTGAACCATATGTTAGACCTAAAATGACCTAGTTTGTGTCGAGTGGACGTTAAACCTCATTTCTCCCTCTCTCATAATATCAGCACAACCGCGAAGTTGCACTTCTTGTGTTTCGGGGTAAACTAAAAAAAGATGTTTTGTAATAAACATAACCCTCGTCAGTGCAGTATGGTTCTTAATTTAGCCACATGTGAACACAAAGCTTACACTTAATCACACTAGAGGTCTACAAATAGCCACATGTTATAAACACAACCTCAACGTCCGGCGTGAAAAGTGATTAAAAATAACCTTAATAGGTACATTTCTATTTTTGGAGATTCGATAGATCGTCACACATATTGTTGAACCTGCTTCACAAATTAGTTATCAGGGTGCTTTTGAATCGGACACAACAGGGGCGGATCCAGGAAGTTTTGCAGGAGGGGTTTGCAAAGCTTTTAGTTACAATGCATGACGCCATCATCGTCTCTAAATTACGAAGGCATTACGTACATCTGATAAACTACTTTTAAAGCCCAAAACTGTTCAACTAGTCTCTTATGGTCAGCGCTCTGTTATCAAGCACCTGTTTTATGGAATAATCTACCATTTAGTTTAAGATGTTGTACATCTCTATATTCTTTTAAAAAACAACTTAAAACACATTTATTTAATCAGGCTTTTAACTGACTCTGTATACAATCGTTAACATGCCCATAATCTTGTTGTTTATGTGTGATTTACATTGTCACTTTGAAAGTGCCCCTGAACATGTTATATGAAAGGGTGCATTATAAATATGCTGTAATAATACTAATAATAATAATAATAATACACACTGGGCTTTTTAAAGAGAGAAATTCAACACCCCGTTTGATGTCAATTTTGATATTGAATTAATAGGATCACATTGTAATTAATTTACATTAATTTGTGATATCACACATTTCTATATCACTATATCCCATCCCACCATCTGATAATAAAGGATAAAGCACACGACCATATTAGTGTGTTTTACAATTTTGGACACCCCCCCCCCTCTCCAAACCCCGTCTCTGGATTCGCCCTGTACAAAATAGCTGCACCGTGTGATATAAAATAATTGGGATTATAGTGGAAATGACCGCGTCCATAATGTACCATATCCTCCTTTTCATTTCGTTTCCTATTATTTTTACAGGTTATAAATATAGCAGTAACCATGATAAATTCACTTGGATTGATGGTTCATCTACTGGTTACTCAAACTGGGCTTCCGGCAATGGTCTGGGTAACCTCAACAAGGGCGGATGTGCGAGAATGAGATCATGGGACACTGAGCATGCGTGGGAAAATACAAACTGTGATAATAGTTGGCTATACATTGTTTGTAAAGCTAAAATGAACTAAAATAAGAATTTAAATAATATAATAAGGAAACTAATACGTCGATAATTATTGTAATTACAATCAAGCAATCTAGGAATATCTCTATATTAATTATAACATCTGTTTATTATTTAATATGGGGAATCTGAAATCTCCTATAAAAACATATATATGACAATTTAAATGTTGCGCAAACACATAATTGTACCCGGATGTCGATAATGACACATTGATATTGATAATAACAACATGTAGTTATACTCGTTTGTTGCTAATAAGTAGGATATTTATAATAACCTGTGGTTATACCATATAGGTTATTAGTAACATTATGTGGTTATACTATATAGGATAATATGTAACAGGCATTGCCTGAGTAGAGCGAAGCTGATTATTGTCAAATATAAAACCTTCATAATTAATTTTCTCAAGTGATACAAAAAATGTTAAATAATTTAGTTTTTCAAAATTTATTTTTATTTAGATCTACATTTTAACATTAATTTTGTTTATAAAAAAAGAACAAAAAAGTGTGAGAATTTTGTTCATTGACGTAAAAAATATGTGACGTCAGTGATTAGACGCGTCATAGAAATAGTTCTATGAGGCGCGTAATTATTTTTGTTAGTTACGTGATCTCGTTTGGTCGAGATTTGGTAAGTTGACATGCGCATTGCCTGTTTTGCCCAGTGTATCCGATTCCGGTCTGAATTTTTTTTTAATCAACAGTCTGTGGGTGACATTTTCAAGTACGCTCCTGTGTTACCGGAAAAGCGCTTTGCAGAGCTTCGCTCTATATTAAAAACAAAACGTGGTTATACTATACAGGATAATAATAACACGTGGTTATACTATATTTGAGAATATTAATTAAAAGAACAGGAGATTATACGTGGTAATATAGAATATCAATACAATAACACGTAGTTATACTATATAGGATATTAATAATAACACCAGGTTATAGGTTATACTATATAGGGTTATTATAATAACACGTGGTTATACTATATAGGATAATCACAATAACACGTGGTTATACTATATAGGATAATCACAATAAAACGTGGTTATACTATATAGGGTTATTATAATAACATCTGGTTATACTATATAGGATATTAATAATAACACCTGGTTATACTATATAGGATATTAATAACACCTGGTTATACTATATAGGGTTATTATAAAAGCACCTGGTTAAACTATATATAGGGTTATTATAATAAGAAGTGGTTAAAATATGCTATTTTATCATATATATTGTACTGTGATAATAATTATGTTTGTTATAACTTTTAACAGAATGTATTTTTGTTATATTTAACAGTTATGTTATTTTTAACAGTTTTTAACTTATATATTATATGAATAAATTTGATAAACTTAAAAATAAACTGTTACCTTTTAATTTAAACTCGCGAGGATAATTCAGTGGCGGACGCAAAATACTTGGTTTGAGGGTCGGGTGGCAGAAGGGTCACTTTCCCCTACCAAGGAGGGCGGTGAGGTCATCCTCCGAGAAATAGTTAAAAAAAGACAGGGTGTCAATGACGATTTGTGGCTACTTACTGTGGACCTGGACGTATAAGGCTCCAATCTGTATCCGCCACTGGAATAATTAATGCCACGATTGCATGGATATATGCATGGTTTTGAAACCGGTCTATTCTCAGGAACTCCCGTAATCTTGAATATATTTGTGATTGTCGTTTGTCTGTCTGTCTGTCTGTTCGGGGTTGGCGGCTAGACTAGGTCTGCCCCGAGTCTGAAATTTGGGGTATAAGGGGTAGCTCGGACCGGAGAGTAACATAGGCCAGGTGGCGTTAGTCTACCACTTCCGGTTTCGGAGTTATGACCCCCGAGCGAAGCCGGTCTGTTCGTGGTTGCCCTGAGTCTGAAATTTGGGGTATAGGGGTAGCTCGGACCGGGGAGTAACATAGGTCAGGTGGCGGTAGTCTACCACTTCCGGTTTCGGAGTTATGACCCCCGAGCGAAGCCGGGTATCCTGCTAGTACATGTATAAATTACAATGGACTACACATTATCTAGTTTTTTTATCAGGAACTTCAGTAACATGTATACCATATCATATCCAACTATTCATGTGAGTGGGCCATAGTGCCGCTGTCCGTGCAAACTTTCCCTCATAGCACACTGTATGGCGTATGCCCGTCTTCATTAGCCCAGTTGGAGCAAAACAGTAAGACGTTAAACTCCATTTCATTTCATTTTAGTTGTTCACAATATATAAGAAATGGATGGAAAATGTCTCCGTTGACGTAGATAATATCATTGATATGGTTTTACGTATGGAGAGAGGGAGGAAAGGGGTTTAACGTCAACTCGACACAAACTAGGTCATTTCGGGACTAACATATAGTTTAATTTTATTTAAATAATTCGCTTGCGCGAATAATTTGTATCAGGTGTCTGTGGTAAAGGAAGATAACTACCTAAACGTTTAGGAATTTCATACTAACTTAACAACGGCTAGATGTTGTAAAGCTCGCAGTCGTTAGCACGTGCGCGCTGTATCACAAGGTCTATCGTTGAGTCGACTGGCGGGGTTTCGATTCGCCAGTTGTACGTGACAAGGAGTAGGGTCGCCTGTCCAACCTCGTGGATTTTCTCCACTTCTCCGGTTTTCTTCCACTGCTAAAGACACCTACGCGCAAGCAAATTACTGATATAAAATTGAACCATGTGTTAGTCCCAAAATGACCTAGTTTGTGTCGAGTGGACGTTAAACCCACTCTCCCTCCCTCTCCCCTCTCTCCCCCCCTCTCTCTCTCCCTCTCTCTCTCTCGGACGTTAAACTGATTTCAATTTTCAAGATCTGTTTTCTTTTGACCCAGCAATCAATAGAGCACCCATGAAAAGACTGGCTAATGGAAGCTGGCAATTTCGCACAGTCGGTCTGCGTCATGTTGATCGGGATTACTATCCCGAACTGGTCGTGCGTCAAGAGTTTTATTTTGATCACGTGATCGTCGTTGGAGGCTGTATTGGAGTTCATGTTCACGATCACTTGAAGACATTGAACATCAGCAATTGACTGTATGTCTATAACCTCACCATTTAGACTCAGACCCAAAATAAGAATAGCTCCATTTGAATCAAGTCAAACGCAATCCGTCCAAAATAAGGACAGCTACTTTGAAATCGACAATCGAGATAGAACAACATGTTGTTTGGTTGTTTTGTAACATCGGTAATAATATGTTTATCGGTTATAGATGTTCGGGGAACTTGTCCCCATCTTGAATCAGGTCTACAGAGATGGAGTGATGATAGAACGTGGGGTGGTACAAAACCTTCCCCGAATACTAAGGTAAGTTTTAATGACTCGTGAATTCTAAAGCAAAATATAGCTCATGTAACCCAGAAATAGACAAGAGACATAAATGCATGACATGTTTGGTGGTACTTCGGCACCAGTCGGGATATTTTGCGCCAATTGCAAGATGTAACTCCAATACTATTATAGTCTCTATCATCCAGGAAAATAGTGTTCTGGGTGACCAAGACTAATACTATTAAAGATACATTTCCGCGTACAAACTGGGTGATTTAAGGGTATATATGGACTAAAAACTAATTAATTTGTCATAATTTTGCTTCAAATCCTTCTCAAACATTGTAATTGCGAAGGAATGCCCTGCTATAAAAATTCGATCAAACCAGGTCATTTTTACGTCACGTGACTTACCTCTCTCGGAAGTCAGAGGAGAATTCATTGCATACATAAGACGATGTTGTCTTTAATCTCTTACTATTTATTACAAATATCGAATCCTAATTAAATTCTCGGATTATCCACTACCCGCGTCCTTTTCCGTCATTTTTATCTCAGAAAGTGTCTAACTCTTCATAAAGTTTATCAACTTGTACATCAAGCGCTCAATGTTCGGGTGTGACCTTTGACATCACGCGTGCAGAAATTCCTAATCGTCGGGCTGTCGATTAGGGGAACCCTTACATTTTTGTTCTGTATACGCTCCGTGGGTGTTTTTCTGTGAATCAAGTATTTTTCTAGTAAGATTGGATATTTCTACTTTCCATACCAAAATTGCCATACTTTTATTGAAAATAACCACCCGATAAATACTTTTCTGGGAACCTATCTTTAAAGATACATTCTCACGAAAGTATTTATCGTGTGGTTATTTTCAAAACAAGTATGGAAAATTTGGTACAATAAAGTTTGTAGTCCAAATATATAATCAAAAATAACAGTTTGTACGCGGGAAGGTAACTTTAACATTTCCACAATATATATTAAGGGGTGTCTTCAGGAATTTGAGTTCAGCAGTGGTGGGGGGGGGGTCCAAGGAGGAGACAATATCAAGTTCTGTGTGAGGTCTGGGCTTACCCAAGGGTTTTATAAAATCAGCTCTCTGAGACCAGATTTAGGCTCATTTAGGTGCATGTTTGCATATGATGAGACTGGAGTGGGGCAAAGGCACTGGCTTTGCTTTGCAAGTTTCTTTTATTGTCGGACGTTATTTCAATGAAAGTAGGAGACAAAAATATTCTGCGCATGAGCAGGAAACGATCCAGACCACCCGTATAGAACTATATTATGATTTGTCCACCAGTTTTCCAAACCAAACCCCTTTGCTTGTAATCTGTAATATACTATTCAAAAAAAGTAGGGGATATTTGATTTTTAAGTGTTATTAAAGTCACCTAATGAAACTGACGAAGAAACAAATGACAAAATGAAATGAAGTTCACATTCATCGATTTATTCCAAATGATCGTTAGACTAAGTAAGGCACAGACTGACCATTATAAGGGTAAAATGATACCCGGGGTCAAACAGCAAAGTTACCACAGCATCACAACCAAGTCAGTAACGGGTAAATCCTCCTCTGTTTGCCAAACAAGCATTGATCCGACGTGGCATACTCCTAATGAGACGTCTAAGGTCATTTTGGTCCAGATTGTCCCATTCCTGTTGCAACGCAGCAGCAAGTTCTTGGACATTGGCAGGACGTTGTTGACGTTGACGTAACCTCTGTCCAAGCATGTCCCAGACATGCTCGATGGGGGAGAGGTCGGGACTCAGTGCTGGCCAAGGTAATGTGGTGATGTTCTGTTGTTGGAGGTAACCTGTAACGATCCTGGCCCTGTGACATCTTGCGTTGTCATCCTGGAAGATGAAACGGCGGCCATGACGTCGTGCGAACGGCACAACATGGACTGCCAAGATGTTTTCCCGGTAGTACTGGCCTGTAACACGCCCTGCAACAACATGTAAAGCCGTTCTTCCAGC